CAGCTCGCAAGCCTTCGATTAATCGAGCAGACTCCAGCTCTATGTTTTAGGCCCAGACGAACGAGGTGCGTCTCTCTCCTTGTTAAGATTCTCGAGTCATAGCCCTTGGCCAGGTAAGGTAACTCTGGGAAGTAGGCGGTGAGTAGTAGAATACACCAAACACTCAAACAGAACCATAAAAGGCTAACAATTAATTAGGCTTCAAAGATTAGAAATAATATGCTGACAATAGATGTACAGGCAGTAATAAGAGGCAGGTTGAATTATATGAAACTGGTGAAAGTAAGTAAAATAATATTAGTACTGCTGACGTGTCCTTCCTCTGTTCGTAACAGAGAGGCCAATTGGCAATTTGAACCCTTATTCCATCTCTCTGTGAGCAAAAGCTGAATTTGCGGGAAGGACAGCAACACTGAACAGGCATCGTGCAGAGAAGTTCCACATCGTGACGAGAGGCAATTTACATAGTTCTAAAAGTTACGAGCCAGCGTGATAAAAATAAATAAGATGAAGGAACGAGTCTCTGTATGGCGACAACACACCAGGGACCCTGTATTGTCTCTTAGAGCACTTTCAAATCGACTGAGTGCTTTTTGAGCGTTAATTAATGTTTATTTATTTGAAACTAAATTAAAATTATTGTCAGCAATCACACTCTTGTCTAATGTTCAGCCTAGAAAAAGTGACTGTAAAAGAACCGCTCCTGGTCAGCCCACCATACTCGCAGCCAGAATATTGTGGGTTCACGGGTTCGAGACTCAGCTCAGCGACCACGTTGTCCTTGGAAAAGACAATTCACATCAATCTTCTTCCTTTCACCCACGTGGGAGTAGGTACATGTGTGAAGGCTGCAAAAGACCATGTCAGTATGTTAGTGTTTTAGTACCATAAAATAGCAGCTCGCACTATGCTAATAAACACTCCTCAAGTAGCTGAGATTGTTTCAGAACGATATCAAGTCTGCTGGAGTAACAGTATAGATTGCAAAGCGTATAGAGTTTCCCGTTGATCTGGACTATTTATTATTATTATCCTTATTATTATTATTATTATTATTATTATTATTATTATTATTATTGTTATTATTAGTATTATTACAAGACATTTTTCCCGCCTACAACCGGGTACCCATTCCCACTTCGATGAAGTGAGGAAAAATCATACAACATACCTCTACTAAGGACACAATTTCGGCCCCATGGCGGCAGGGTTCAAATCCATGACCCTTTAGTCACAAAGCACAAACGGCCCTTCTGTTCATGCTAACTACTCCAAATCATTCTTGAATTCTGTGCTCCAAATACATTTAGGATATAGAGTGATCTAGATCTCTGTCCTAGATGTATTTGGAGCAGAGAATTCAATATCTTTCATTTTATTGCAATAAAGCGGAAGAGATTTCATGCAGTCTTCAGTCTCCTCAATGCTAATATATTTTCAAGTTCATACATCTGTTATTATTATTATTATTATTATTATTATTATTATTATTATTATTATTATTATTATTATTGTCATTATCATTGTTATTATTATTATTATTATTATTATTATTATTATTATTATTATTATTATTATCATCATCATTATCATTATTACTATTATTATTATTATTATTATTATTATTATTATTATTATTATTATTATTATTATTATTATAATTGTTGCCATTACTATGAAGTTTGATGCACTCGATTCAAATAAAGATCATTGCTGAGTCATAGCGGCACAATATAAAATGAATGGAAGTACAGAAAATTTGAGGCTAAACATTTAACAGCACAAATACAATAGTTCTCGTTCTCCATCAAATATAGAAAAATGGAGATTGTAAATTTAGACATAAGCATTGTTGGAGGAAAAAGAAGTTTACCCTCCAGTGTTAGGCAGGATTTTCTAACCCTCACACCCAGGAACGACCGCTGATTTGTTTGAAAGGGTAATCAAGATGAGACAAAGAATCAGGCAGAAATAAGGCCACACGAGAAACACTTTCCCACAGCAGGAAAATAATTAACAAAACTTCTTATTCGAGGCGACATCACGGAGTTGTGAATGAAAACAAATCCTGACTTCATGATTAGTGTTATATGTTCACCCGCCAAAATAATCGAGGAACTATCTCATTTAACAATATTATTCCCATTTTGGGCAGTACATAATTCTAACTTTTAAATAATAAATGGTTTCAAGATTTTTCAACAATAAACTTAACTAAAGATGTGAATGCATACACAGGAGGCAACGAAGCAGAGATGACAGTACTACAAATTAAATTGCATCAGTGATTGTTTGATTACTTCGCCACTGCTCACACCAGCGACGCATGCCCAAATTTAAAGTTCATGGCATAGCTTGTTCACTTTCATGTGTCAGCGGTTAAAACACGACAAAAACAAATCGTTCTGTTTAATCCTCTGCGGGTCCAAAGGTTGGATGACCTGCAGGATCGACAAGCTTATTATTGATGAAGGTTATTGTAAACTGAAATTCTTCGTCTTCTTTGATATTAGCCTACATTTGGGTAAAAAGAAAATAAGAGGTTTACAGAATACACTAAAAACATTTGAAAGTTGACCAAATTTCATCGCCATCAGACTTCAACGCCTGTAAAACACGGCCCAAGAGACGTGCAAGTACTTTTCGAGACACGTGAAGATGTCTATGATAGGATATAATTCTACAAGCATGTAGGGGCATACTGATATCTCAAAATGAGCTCTTCGTGTGCTATATTACTGTAAATTATGTATTTCAGTGATCCTGTGTATGCATCCAAACTATGCTGTCTAATACAGGGTCTAAATAAGCAGGGGCAAAGCGTCTGTATAATCAAATAATCACTGCATCCCTTCCTAATTTTGAAACGTTGTCGCAGTCAAATTCACCCATAGACGTAAACCTCATACATTAAATGTAAAAAGACGTTCATAATCACCAATGAACAATAATTAGTTACAATAGACTATGCCTAACCTTCAAAACCGTTTCATTGCCACATAAATAGCCTGTTCGCCCCTATCGGGCCACTCCATAAGCAGTCACAAGCTTAGATTAAGTAAGCTTAAAGTAAGGCTGGAAGAGTTTACCAATAGAGTTGAAGGGAACTGTGCATAGCTGTCAAAACTGTTTCATTGCCACATATACCCGGTTCACCCCTTTCGAGCCGCAGTTATAAGCAGCCACAGGCGCTGATTATGTAAGCTAACTATTACACTGGTCGAGTCTACCTCACAGATGTGAGGGGAACTAACTCCTAATAATATCTTGAGTGGTGCGAGTGCTTGTTTTTTTCCTCGACTTTTTAACGTCCTATAATCAGATCGTGACCTCTATTATGACACCGGCTCCTGGCCGCGAAAAGAAAGACAAAAACAGCCAAATGTGAAATAAAAAATTAATAAATGGCATGCTCTTCCAAAGTGTTTAGACTGTCTGGTATAACCTGTCATTGTAGTACTGACATCTCTGCTTCTTTCCTTGGTGTTCGTGTATTCAAATCTAAAGTTAAATTCAAGGTTAGTTAGAAAAAAATATTTAGTGAAATACATATACTTTCCCGATTTTTTTAGCGGTTGAATATGCATACAACATGAATTCAGGATTTGTTTTTATTCACAACTCAGAGTTGCCGCCTCCAGTAAGATTCTTGTGACTTGAGTGAGTGTGATATCTCCAGGCCCTATCTGGTCCCATCTCACTTTGATTACCCTGTCAAACAAGCCAGCCTTCGCCCCTGTAAATAAGGGGACTTTTTACTTCTAGATAAAGATTTTTTTTAAATAGACATTTTTGTTTGGTCGCATCCCTGCAGAAGTTCATACCAACTTTCATGCACATTGGTAAATCAACAAATGAGCATCTTAAAATGCGGACCGGACAGACAATGAACAAGCTATAATAGTTATAATTTTTCTTAGAATAAGTAATAAAATAATGAGAATAATGATAATAAAATAAAAAAATTGAATTAGAATGAGAATGCGAATCATTTTATAGCACCCACCCCCATACAATACAGCTCAAAACATCTAACAATAATCACATCTTCGCTTCTAAAGCAAAAAGTATATTCATTAACGTTCATTTACGTGCTTTACATTAGGATTAACACATAAGCTGACATTCTTGCATGCTATTTTACAACACAATCAATGGTGATGTGCACATCACACTGTTAAGAGGAGGGTGGGGTGGGGGGCCTCCCCTTAGTCCCCGAAAGTCCCGTTTCGGCTAAAAATTATGGATTTTGAGTTGTAGGCATTTTTAGTATCTTTAGCTGCTCTTGCAACTATTTCATTGCATAGGAACCCCATACAGACTTATTTCTTCCCATACGGGGTATGATTGCCACGGCCGTTTCCTCATAAAGTCATTTTTTTTTTTTATAGTCCGTTTTCTCAAAACGCGGTTTTGCTATATACTTTTAAAAATAACTCCACCATTTTCATCCAACCTTCATTAATTTTTCGCAGAATGAAGAGAAAATGTAATACTAAAAATGTGTCTTTTGAATTTTTTATGTACGGAATAGTTGGGGGGTTTTTGGTGGTGTCTGGGATATGGATTTTCACGGATTTTTTGCAAACTTGAATACTACCTCAGGCAAATATTCATTAAAATTTTTCAAATTCGTTTAGGAAAAATTCAAAAGACGCATGCTTGCTCGTTAACATTTATAAGAAAAAAATCTATTGCCATTCAAAATAAGTGCAGCATTCATTACGTAAAACATGTCAATAAAATCCAATATGACCTCCGTATCTATGGAAACGACATTGTTTGTCAAATTTGCTTGCGGATTTTAAGACTCCTTACTATGAGTGTTATATGTGTGAAATTTGGTAAAATTTGATCAGCTAATAAACAAGACAGCCTTCATGTGTGTACCCCCCCCCCCCCCCTTAACATAGAAGCAGTGTGCCAGCTTACTGATTACGATTGCTATTACAATCAACTGTATTATTTTTTTCTTTTCTCAGGTTACCAGTGAACTTGACGCAGAGATCACGCGGTCAGTCAACAAGATGATTGTATCTTGCATGGTGTTTGTCTTTGTGGTTCTCATGACGCCCGTGCTGATACGTCTCATGTACTCCTTGACCAACTCGATACAAGTACGTCACAATTTGGAGTTTAGATAAAGAGAAACACATAACGATACAATAACGGTCATTTAGTGCAGGGACACAGTAACACAGAGTGACGAATAGACAAACATCTCATTAACTTTACCAACTCAATCAAAGGTATATCAAAATTCTAATGGAGTCAAGAGAAGCACATAACGATTTAATAAGGTAATAAGGGTCATATTGTGCAAGGAAAAAGTTAAGACAGGCAGAGAGAAACAGCAGAAGACGAGAAGAAGGACCTATGCGTGACGGACGACCTCAATCCACTCACAATAGTCTCAGAACTCGCGATCTTACGTACGCACGGCCTAGTTCAATATAAATATGTATATCCATCTGCAGTTTTTATTTATTGTTAAATCGTTTGGGATGTGAGATGCTACGACAAATACCTGTTGTGGACAATCCAGGTTGAGTGGGCAGTAACGTCCCGGCCGACAGACGGGTATATTTTTTGTTTTCAAGTCTTGAAAACAAGGCTCCTCTTGTCAATCAAATCCACTTTATCTCTGTACAAAGACGTGGAGCTTAACAGTTGCACCATCCTCGCTGGTCAGTCCAATGACTGATCCATATATGAAATGGATATTTTTGCGAGGTGGATTGATAAGAATTAGGCCGTAACAGGTTCTCAAGCCCACGTGTAAAAAAACGAATAATTTGCAACAATTGTACTTAATCACTCGTGTCTTCAATGTTAATATTTTAACACTCCGTTTATCAGAGTCAGCTGCAGTCCTATAAGAGGCGTATATTAGCACGATGCAGGCTGATGTCAGAGCAAAGGAGTCGCCCTTCATAAAGGCAAATTTAGTTGTAAAAGTGTGTGAAAACAAAAATTATATCATTGTCCAGTCAGAATTGTCGTCTGTCCCCAGACTTACGCAACGGAAGCTTCCCAGAAATCACAACAGCTCATCGTGGAAAAACAGAGATCTGACAGTCTGTTATACCAAATGCTACCCAAAACAGTAGCGCAGCAGCTTAAAATGAACAAGGCAGTGAACGCTGAATATTATGAACACGTAAGGAGAAAGAAGGCTTACATTTTGAATTGCTTTCAAGAAAAAACGCCAGTGTTTACTTTAAAAACCTATTTATGGTCAATAAGTAGAGGGTGATCCAAAAAAAACAACCCCTGTACAAATTGTATTGTAAATATCTTCCTCCATACTGAAGTTTTGTGTTTCAGATTTCACCATAACATTTGGAAGCCAAAAGGAATTTGTCTATATTCATTTTAGATAAGTCCATGGAACAGTTTTGCTCTATATGGCGCATAAAAAACAACCCATTTTCAACCTTTTCGCCATTTCCATAGCCTGACGCTCCTGTTCGCATTAGGTCTACCGCTAAAAGTTGCAACTATCGCGCCATATTGCAAGCTTCAGCAGTCTAACAAGTCAACAGAAGTCTGCAAATATTATTTTACACCCAAATTTCATTTGCCTGCTGAGATTACTGTTACGTGAAGTAAAAAGCAGAGAACTTGGCACTCCTGTACAACTGCGGTCCTGTTTGGGGATACTAGTTACTTCTTCTGGTTCTAAACGAATACTTTTTGATGCGCGTGCCGATAAGGAGAGATAGCCTATCGAACCTAGATCTAATTGCAAAACATCAAATCATGGTCAAGTTAAGGGAGGCATTCCACCCCCCCCCCTGTTGGGATTTTTCTATGTCATGGAGGCAAACCCCTGACCC